TTTCAGGGGACCGCCTCCGTGGTCTAGTGGTAGAGCGTCCGCCCGGCCGCCCGGGTTCGATGCCCGGCCACGTCATACCAAAAGATTGTACTTGTTGGTACCCTGTCTTGCGCTCGGCATTAAGGGCCTAAAACAAGGACTGGTGGGCTCGGAGTCAGTATACTGTGTCTGAGTGGGGTATTCATGTTAAACTTGGGCATGGTATCTCAGTGTGCTAGCACTATAAATCGGCATCAGTCCGGACAAGTACAAGCAGCCACACACACACACAAGTGCATGCACGTCGCTATATAAGTGCAATAATCTTGGACACGACGTTAAACACCATTTCACCTCACCACTCTTTCAGGTCGGCTGTGCTTGTCGTAAGAGGCGACTGAGAGGATCGGATGGTCAGACTTGGTGACTTGGTTGATTCGTGTCATCAATACCTGGATTGTCTGGTCCATATTTACAGACTACCGCCATATCGCTGGAATATTGCTGAGTTCGGCGTTAAACAACAAACAAACGTCAATGTCACAATGGCGTCTTCCGTTAGAAGGAGTAGGGTCGGCAAAACCCGCAACAAGTTTGAATTATAGGTGTTTCAAACAAAACATTCCGAGTATATTAATAAAAGATTTGTGAGTAGTCTAATTGTAGAAAACCATGGCTACCCTAAATGAAAAGACACAATAACACTCGTGTGCCCTGATAACAATGACGAGATCCTGACTAAATAAGCATTAGGTCGAGGAAGTTCATTATATTGCAATTACATTACTGGACTCAATTAAAAACGTTTGTTGTATTTTTATGGAGGTATGTTTTCGTTATAACTGTCACCGGAGGGTAACAACCGTAGCTAAAGTGGTTGTTTACAGCAAACCAATAAACAATATCGAATAGCGGTGGGTATGTTGATATCGAGTGTTGTCAATATCAGGTCATTAATCACGCTCCTGGGTGTCAGTCTGTCAATAACCGCGCTGAAATTAACACCAATCTTCCATGTATTGACAGCAACCTGTCAAAGCGGTATTGTGTTGGTTAGCATATTTCTGACGTCTTGTAAACGCAATGTATTTGGTGGACTTGAAGATGTAAATATTTTGGCTTCAAGTTATAAGACGACAAGCTTTGTACAAATTATTTAGATGTTGTAAATGTAAGAAACTTTACCACTTTAAAAATGAAATTGCAAAAAATAAAAACACAAGTTCAACTTCAATCAACACAAAACACATCGTCCAAACACAACAATGCTCTATGCAGAAAGTGATACACGTCCACAACACGTTCTGTTTTGTAAAACATGCGGGAAAGTGAAAAACACGTGCGCTTTGGCAGCCGAAACTACACGTGTAAGGGTACATCAAAGATACGGACTGCATGTCAAACACTCACGACGATAAAAAACAAAAACAACCACAGAAATGCCTCGATTGACACCCGAACAACGCAGATGCTGTTTTTTTAAAATATTGATTTCGTTCAGATTTTGAACTTTTCAATACATTTTACTTCATGCATCTATCTTTTTTGTGTTTTTAAACTAGAGTGATTTAAAACTATGGTGAAGTCGGTATGGGTGGTTAGTTTTATTCCGCAGTTGGTAATATTCCTACCATACCAAGACGGTGGGACACCAGAAATTGGATTAACATGTTACATGCACCAAGATTGCAATAAAATCAACTATTTATTTATTCACTGTACGAATGGCCAAATATCTTTTACTAAAATTCCACATTTGGACATAACATGATACAATCCTAAGACTAATTCTTGAACAGACGTGAACAGAAATCGGTCATATGCAATATGTTCCAATGTACCCGGAAGTAGCCAGCTGTTACTGACGAGTGTGTGTGATGTACACTCATGAACACGGAAGTACTCGTCGTGATAGTTATAATGGGCGAAACGGGCGTCGGTCCACACACGGTCCTTAGACGGTTGAATGTTCATCAAAGCATCACATACATCCGGTCTCATTAGAGTCAGATCTAGGTTCTCGCTGCCGCTAAACGAAGATCTGAGGACATCCTACTATGGGTCACGTCAGAACGACCTTTCGCGAACTTTGACCGACCACTGATACACAACTGTTATACATTTCTAAATAAAATTTATATTAAATCCTGTTTACAGTAAATATGAAATCGTGTCCTAGCTACATTGACAATATATATTTTTGTTGTATCTGTTAGACGAGGAGCATGAATAAATATCTGTTCTGTTCTGATGTTCTGTTATGACTAACAAGAAGCCGACATCAGCCAATTAGAAAGCAGCTTTCTCGAGCTTCATGGCACTCGTTTCAACCTGGCGACTTCCATTTCAGACTACCCTTGAAAAATATGTTGACAGTTCTCGATTAACATTTTGAAAACTGAACAAGCGAACAATCAGGAATGTCTAATATATTGTAGAGATTGTATAGCAGTGGTTCCCACGTACTGTGCAACGCCTCCTCCGTTCAAATGTTTATCCCACCGAAGGGAGAGAGAGAGACGATAATTTTGACGGAATCAGTCGTACGGGCCGTAACTGTCGTTCGGAATACCCCGTATTAACGTTTTCGAGGTTGCATGATTAGAAAACACATTCGCTTTGATTGGTCGGATGAAACGTCGTTCTGACGTGACCCATAATGGGATGTCCTCAGATATTTGCTTAGCGATAGCAAGAACTAAGATCCGATTTAAATGAGATTGTTAGACTGACGTATGTCCGTGTCACAACAATCACGGGTTAAAGATCGCTGTGTGTACGTACATGTTGGAGGCCCTGGTTCCGTCTGATCTGCGTACCGTAGAGGAACAAATGTAGCCAGTTACAGTCAAGTCGTGCACAGGTTAAAGGGCAAGTTCACACGGAAATGAACCTAATTTTCTTGTACTTTTTCCACAATAAAAGTGTTAACCTAGAAGTGTCATAGACAAAAATATAAAAATATCACAATTAATTAACATATGTTTTGCATTAAAACGATTTATATTTTTCACATTTACCAAGTGTTCTATTTCCATAACAAAAACACCATGGCTTATGCCCCTTGCAATATGACGTCATTGGTGCCAATTGATAAACATTATGACGTCATCATGCTTTGTTAGAGCCGCTTCACGTGGTGTAGGTATAGGTGTGTGATTCTAGCGTCTCAGATGCCAGCCAGCATAGTGTTATGCTGAGTCACCACTGCGCCGGAGTGTGTCGTAGGCCATGTTGTTTTACCGCAAACTTGTACTTGATATCTTTTGCGTTCAGAATAGACAGGGACCCAGTTGAATTGGCACCAATTACGTCATAATCTAAGGGGGATAACTCAGGCCTGTTTAGCTCGAAAAACGAAGGCCTCATAACGGCATATCATTTTCACACAATTGTGAGCTTCCTACTTTCACTGTGAAAAAAATGAGTGTACATTTTCAAACACAGATACTAACTAATTCTAAAATTGCGTTTTGTTTAGAAAAAGAAAGAAAGTGATTTTTGCGTGTACACTTCCCCTTTAAGAACCCACCTTTCATTGTGTATATCAACCAAGCAGTTCACGATTTCCCTGTTTACACAGAGATAATGCTGAGTTTCATGTGCTCAGTGTTACCAAATCCTGGAGCAAAGTGACCCTTTTAAACTGACCTGCAATATGGCACGAACTGGGATTTGACTACAAGGAAAATTACGTACCCCCAAAACAGCTGATGATTGTTATTAAGTCCTTTTGTAACATTATTTCAACACAGTGGTTCTATATCGATGAACAAGCAGATAAACTAAGTTTTAATTCTCATAGGAATTCTTTTCAGAATACATCACGAAATGTCATCGATTTAATATTGTAACTTGTATTTTCGTATTTACAATCCTTATCCATTAACGTGGATACATGGATACCCGTCTAAAAGTACGCCAGGTTTCAGATTAACAATAAAAGCGTATCGATCTGATCAGCGTCTGAAATCCCAAGATAACTTAAATAAACCGATATCCAAATGAAGCCATGCTATTGTTTGTTGCCTTGTAGATTCTGCCCCATGTGGTCCTTACAGCCAGGGAGACGTGGCACGGGCGGGTAGCGTCAAGAATCCCAGTATCCAGTCCAGGAATCTCACGCTGGTTAGGCTGTAGTGAAAGGGATATTCGTTTGTGTAAATATCACCTAATTAAAACAGCAGATGTGTAGCACACCGAAATGACATGCTGCTTCTCAGCGTTTTGTTTTGTTTTGGGAATTGATCGAAAACTGGAACGAAATAAAATAAATCAAGTGACTTGTAAATAATTAAACTTTGTTTTATCAATCCCGAGGGAGCGTTTGTGACGGCTGTCGCTTTTGTCTGGGGAATGTGTTGAAGTGGTAGCTTGCCTCACCTGCCTCAAGAGTCTGCTACAATCAATGAGAAAACATTAACGTTGGATTATTAGCGAGCAGTTCCTTCATACAGCCTTGTATCATTTTATTAAGGCTAAGTAATAGATAAAGGACCACTGACAGTGCATAAATGTTCTCCATCCGAAAACAATAAAGGATGAAGCCATGCATTACTTTCGTGATGCAGGACCTTTATATGTGATAAAACTTCCTCAATCTACTTAACGCGGCTAATTGTCCCAGTGCGCAGGGATCACACACTCAACACGCCGTCTGTAAAAACTACTGTAGACAATACGTTATCAAACTACAAAGGTATACTACGTGATCAAATAGCGATCATGTCACACAAAAGTGTAGTGCTAATGACATATACAGTGACTTCGTATTAGCGTCGAACCGTGAAGATCCGATCTTCAGCAACTCATTAGAGGCGACTAACGGGATCGGGCGGTCAGGCTCGCTGACTTGGTTGATGCATGTCGTATCAAAATTGTGTAGATCGATGCTCATGATGTCAATCACTGGATTGTCTGGTCCAAACACGATTATTTACAGACCGCGGTCATAAAGCTGGACTATTGCTGAGTGTTGTGGTCAACTCAGTAGCATCTCATTATTTGTAATTCTGTTGTAGTTGCGGCCGGTGCTTGACCACCGAATGCCGACGTTGGCGACCAAAGCAGCGTTCATGATGCCCGTGGGGGACGTGTCAGCTCAACAGAAGAAGAGGAACGCGCTGCACCAACTCGAAACCTGTCCACCCAGGTGTCTTAAAGAGGTTCGGCAACTCCTCACAATGGAGATCAAACACATCCACAGATGCCTGTCCAGATTAGAGAGGTCATACTATGGCGGGAGACGGACAGTCCACCAGGAGGTTGAGAAGATTATATATCCCATCAAGACAGTCATGAAATCTGCCCTCATCTTCGAGTGCAATTCCTCCTCCAACGTGGAAGATGTCAAACGTCAGTCCAGTGTTCCCGAGTTCAAGGGCACGGCTGAAAACGTCCAGCTCTTCCGGGACGTGTACGCCAAGGTGAAGAGTTATCTTCCCGACAAGATCAGCGAGGTGACCAACTCGTGCCATAAGCTGTCTGAGTTGCTAAGTAAGTACTGTGTGACCTTTTATGAGCCTAACTCCGAGAAAGATGGATACCTGGAAACTGCAGCTCACTATCAGGAACAGATTGAATCCTGGACTTCAAACATTGAATCAAGTTTGACAAGCGCCAAAGAGGTTTTCAGACGGTTCAAAGGGAGAGGGGTCACAACCTCCCATCTCACTCCACCCGTGGCAAATTTCGTTGCTAAGCATAATCTCCATAAAGTCCTTTTCCTTGTTATCTTCGCAGATGCCTGTACGAACATAAGAAACGCTTTGAGTCTGATGACATCATGGTTGAAAACTGATGAAACCTATTCGGGGTTTCTCAAAATTGACTTAATTGATTTAGAGACTGTAAAGGAAGAAAAGATCAAAGCTTTGAGGGATTCAAGGTCCAAGTATCATTCACTCACCTTCAAACTCAGCCAGTCAGAACTGGAATATTCAAAAGCGGAAACGGAAGTGGTGAACCTGCGCGAGCGGAGAGACAACTTGTTCCGAGAAGAGGAGCATCTTGAGAAGCAAGTCAATGACACCGAGCTGGAGATTGAGTTTAAGCAGTACCGGAGGGAAAGTTTTAAGATTGTGTTAGATGACAGTCACCCCGAGGTGTCGGCGGAGACCTATGAGGCCCTGACAGAGGACCTGAAGAACCTGAAAGAGAGACTGCCAGGGCTACAACGACAACTGGCTACTGTCAGGTAGGAATAACTGATTTCTGACCATGGTCATAAACATGGAGGCTCAGTTGGAGTTTTGGATACAATTTGTGTTAGTCCACACATTCACGTACGTGTATCTGCGCATGTCGATGTCACTTGAGATAAGAGAAATGTCCAAAGCCTCGTTCCACATCGTAGCGCTGAAGTAACTCCCATACTTTAAAACAGACCTACGACTGTCGTAGCGCTATGGTGATCGTAACTGCCATACTTCAACATAGGCTTACGACTGCCGTAGCGCTATAGTGATCGTAACTGCCATACTTCAACATTGGCTTACGACTGTCGTAGCGCTATAGTGATCGTAACTGCCATACTTCAACTTTGGCTTACGACTGTCGTAGCGCTATGGTGATCGTAACTCCAATACTTTAACATAGACTTACGATTGTCTTAGCGCTACGGCCGCTTGTGGAACAGTGCCCAGGGTGCCGTTGTACAAAGCGATCTTAGCTCTAAGGTGACAGTAACTCCCATACAGTATGTTATCCATGCATTGTTGTCTTCTCAGTCGCGATTTTGGAAAACGAAATAATTTTAGAATAACTGTGCTTAGCGTTATAATTTTAACAGCACGGCACCGAACAAAACAGCAGGCTGCGCATCTGAGAAGTTAAATCACACACCTGTACCTACACCACGTGAAACGGGTCTAATAAAGTCTTATGACGTCATTCCTTTATCGCTTGGCACAATGACGTCATATTGCAAGGGGCATAAGCCATGGTGTGTTTATTATGGAAATAGAACACTCCGTAAATGTAAAAAATATGAACCGATTTTATGAATAACATAAATTAGATACTTGTGATATTTTTAATGTTTTGCCTCTGAAACTACTAGGTAAATACTTTTCATGATGAAAAAGTACAAGAAAAATAGGTTTATTTTCGTGTGAACTTGCCCTTTAATATAGGCTTACAGCAGTCGTAGCGCTGAGGTTGTTCAGTACAACGGGCCCCAGGGCTTTAAGATCACGACATCAACATCTGTGTACAGTAATAAGTGTAGGCCGGACAGGTTCAGTTTTATGTTTTTAGCTGGTCAGTATCATGTTAATGCTTAAACAGTAGTCATATGTACTATGGCTACTGGTTCTTCGGCTCGACCCTTTTAATTCTCCTGCACTCGGGCATGGTTTATCCTTCCAGTTAGGAACGCTAATTAATAATACCATAAATCTCTCGAAGTATAACGCCAAAGGGACGACTTTTAGGTGAGGTGAAATAGGGTTTAACGTCGCGTCCAAGATTATTGCACTTATATAGCGACGTGCATGCAAGTGTATGTGTGTGTATGTGGCTGCTTGTACTAGTCCGGACTGATGCCGATTTATACTGCTAGCTCACTGAGATACCATGCCGCAGTTTAACATGAATACCCCACTCAGACACAGTATACTGACTCCGAGCCGACCAGTCCTTGTTTTAGCCCCAGGGTAGCAACAAGTACCATCTTTTAACGTCTTTTGGTATGACGCGGTCGGGGATCGAACCCCGGACCTTCCGCTCTCCGGGCGGACGCTCTACCATTAGACAACGGGGGCGGTCCACGGCTTTTAGGTCCAGTATCAAAAGGAAGACCAATGCAACGAAATCCCTTTTGATAGGCAACTAATTCACTTAAAGCAGAAAAAACGCCTAAACTCGAGTCTGGAGTGTTGGTGAATGAGTTTGGTTTAACGCCTCTTTGAACAGTTTCAATTCTAGCAAGAATTAACCACTTTGGTTAAACCCACGAGGACGATATAGGGCTGACAGATTATGATCAGAAACGGGTCGAATCTGGGTTTTGTAGCACGGCAAAGGGACATATGTTTACACCTTGAACAGCAACGTCGTAGACCACTGTACCATCGTCTCCCCTGCTGAACAACTGTTGACACAAAGAATTGATAAGCACCTTCCTAAAGCAAGGGAGTTAACTGACTATAACAATCATATTTCCATCCTTGGCTGGAATTATGGAGTTAAATTTTGGCTGGACTAATGAGTCTAGGCATAGTCCAATCAAAATCGCGTAACGAAATCGACATCCTGTTCGTAAACTGTCGTGCAGATTTCGGTCAATTGCAGGATTTGCGAAATCCAAATCCAGATATTTTCCAAATCCTTCATGTTTTTAATCAAGTTGCTCACGTGATTTGATGCACTTCGCGAAGTAAGACCCATTTTATCAATATAGATTTCAACTATCGATCAGATCGTCTTGACTGTGCGCCACCATTTTGTTTGGTTCAAAAGCTACGATCGAGCCCAGAAATTCCAGCAACGTTCGGAAAGGGAAACTGGACTTTTACAGTCAGTTAACACCCTTGCTTCGGGAAGCTGGTAATAAGAGACTTACCCTCTACTTGCAGGTACAAGTTGACATGGGTGGAGGAGAAAACCCACCAACAGGAGAAGATAGGAGAAGAGATACAGCTGGTGCAGAAGGAGCTCCTGCAGGCGGGGGAAGAGAGGGGAAGAAAGGAGAAGGAGTACCTGGAGGTGGAGAAGAGTCTGAAGCTGGCAAGGCGGATCCTGCTGTGTAAGACGAGCAATGACGCCGTGGAGAAGATCTACTACAGTATTCCCGTACACGCCAGGAACAGCCGGCCCGTTGGGGTCCCAGCCAAGGCAGCCAGTAGGTGGCGTTACATCTGTTTGTTATTTTATGCCGCAGGCAGCAATATTACGGCCGTATCAGTGTGGCCTGTAAATAACCGAGTCTGGATCAGACAAATTAGTAATCGATATTACGAGCAATTGGCAATGTCGTCGGGGTACGATGACAAGCATTCAACCAAGTCACTGATCCTGACCACATGATGTTCTTTGGTCGGCTCAGACAAACAGCATGGTACACTTTCGACCTCTTCTGACCCATGGAGTCGCGATCTTACACATGTACTGTTATTGCAGGAGTGTCAGGCGGCTGGGTAACATGCAAGTCAGCATATAACGAAATTGTATACATTTTAAAAAAAACATTTAAATCGCCCGGATTAACAAATCAAATTTGTATGTAATAATATATCTGAAGGCAGGGGTTCATGTGAGCAAGGTCAACGTCTCATAAAAAAATAATCCAAGCTAGTTCGTCATTTTCTGAAGTCGATATTTCGGGGGATGAGATATGGAGCCCGGTACTATTACAGCGGGACACACAAAAAACGAGTTTTCAACAGGACACACAAAAAACGAGTTTTCAAATGTTGGTCCTATTTTGGGAATCGAAACCGGGTCTTTAAGAACCCAAATGGAAGCTTTAGAAGGGATGGCCTAATGTCATTATGATAAAAAAAATATATAATATATTTGGATGAAATGTTCAGTTTGAATAATGAATGTTGACTTATAATGACTTATTCTTCCAGCACCTCTCGACAAAGCCTGCAAGGTGATTTCAAGGACAATAGAGCGAGACTGGGTACACGTCTACAGGAATTTACCCTTCTTTCCCAAACGCGGCGCGGAGACAATAGAGCGCGACATCGGCGAACTGAGCACGACAGGTGCAAGAGGTACTCTGATTGTTGTCGCCCGGCGAGCGCTGGACCGATGGCGGCGTTATCACACACGGGCCATGGTGGACGACCTCAAGATGGCGTTGAGGAAGGTCAGGAGGTTAGATGTCGTCAAGGCGATCGAGGTCGAACTGAATCCGCCTGTGAAGGAAGAGGAGGAGGATGACATGGATGAAAAGGTGCCCCCTGTTCCTCCGGAACTGTTGCCGTTCTATGAACTTGGGGAGCGGTATGATCAACTCAGGGCTATGAACCGGATGTGAGGAGATAGACCTGTTGCCATTCTATGAACTTGGCAGAGGTATGACCAACTCAGGACTATGGACATGTTGTAAACAGATGGAAAGGTTATATAGTGGAGTGAGCGAGGAAATGAATTTCGTTGGTGCGTTAAGTATTATTCCAATAACATCCCGACATGTTTGTTTGTGATTTAAGGCCAAACTCAGCAAAAGTCCATCTATATGACGGTGGTCTGTAAATAATCGAATCTGGACAAGACAATCCAGTGATTAACATCATGAGCACCGATCCACGCAATGGGGATACGATGACATGCATCAACCAAGTCAGCGAGCCTGACCATCCTCTAACATGCGTCTGTACTACTGAAAAGAAGTAAAAGAACACCCGATTATTTCATATCACCATAGTCAATCAGTCATGTCATGTAATGCTATAGTAAAAGGAAATAATCGGTTGTTCTCAAAATTCTTTTGAGTAGTATTTTTTACCCTCAAATGTCCAGTTTCTTCTTGGTTGTCTCCTCCATGGAGTTCCCATATCCCCATTGTCCACAGTTCCATGCCATTCATGCAACGCAGTGGAATTCCATGTTGGTACAAGTTCTGAGTTACAAAGGGGGAATATATAAATACGGTATTTCCTAGCTCTCACGCGATACTTGGTCTATATCTTCACACACAGAGGTGTATTGTGTGGCGACAGCGAGTGATAAGCGAGAGAACAAGGATCTAGCCACAACAAATACAACATCGGATATAATATCAAAGATATCAAAGATTCCTTCTGAGGCATATTTACCAACTTATTAAAAGAAATGGTTCTTGTTCAGATATACTTTCCTGACTATTTTAGTCGGCCAAGTCGGCGAGCCTGACCACCAGATCCCATTAATCGCCCCTTACGACACGCATAGTCACCTATTCTAAGCCGGATCTTCACGGGTGAAATGTTCACGTACCATCAAGGGCTGTGCTGCTTAGAAATAGATCAGTTGGTTCGTTTATGGGTGAGTGACTCCATGAGCAGAATGCGGCTTCTCTCATTGTCCCCATGTGAAAATCGAACCTGAATTTTCGGCGGGATAAGCAAACAATTAAATCACTTCGCTACCGATTCTGTAGAATCCTGCCCAGGTGATAAGCAAACAACAAATCACTTGGCTACCGATGCTGTAGAATCCTGCCTATGTGAGTGCATATTGATATTTTAAATGAGAATATGTGAAGAACCGGGTTCAGTAACCCATTTTTACCGTAAAAGAACTAACAGATCGGGTGGTCTGGCGCGCTGACTTGGTTGAAGCATGTCATCGAACCCCATTTGCGTAGATCGAGGATCATGACATTAGTCTCTGGGGTGTCTGGTACAGACTGTGTCATATAACTGTAATATTGCTGGGTGTGACGTTAAACAACAAACAAACGAATCAAACCAATCTAAGGTTGTTTCTTGAAGGAGGTTGTCAATCGGATTAAATAACGATCAAATTGACTCTAGGTTGCTTTGTGCTGACAGCCCCAGGTCAGTGACTTGAAGTATCGCGGTAAGTTGAATAAGAAGTTTTGACCTTAGTGAATATGCAAAATGCCATGCAAAGGTCGTTATAGCAGAATTCACAGTTGTTGTTGTTGACAAAGGCGATCACAAAACATAGTCGAGATCATCCTCGAATATCGAGTATTTATATCTCCATTCTATTACCGTATTCGACGTAATAAGCGCCCCGCTCTATTAAGCGCCCACGGCGATATTTGCTAATATATTGGCTTGTGAACAACCCCAATTAGCATCCTTTCCGATTGATCAATGGACAAATGACTTACTTATTCGCATACAATACGCACTCGTGTGTTATATGCACCTATAATTATGGGCAATTAAATTCTGGAATAATATATGTCTATATAAACATTTCAGGCTGTCAGCATAAACCACGGAATTTACCTTTCAACTCTGTATTTTTTCACTAAAATACTCTCCTAATAAGAGCCCCCTATTTCTAATTTTGAGGGCGCCCTGGGCGCTTATTACGTCGAATACGGTAACATAAATTCGCGAACCGATTCGCAAGCCCAGCTTCGTGCGAATGACACGACGTTAGATATAATTATCACGTGCAGTAATACAAACGACATTTCGATTGCTTCGGAACGAAAATATATTTTGTACCAATTTTTATCGAAAGTTAGCATGCATTTTCTTGGCATTCACAGTGAGCTTTTTTACGGTTGGTCTGCTTTTCGAGACTGTCCGTAATAACGAGGTGACACTTCACCGAAGACGTTGCCAGTGATGTTGTTTACCTGTACCGGACGAAGCATCCAGCTGACTTTCTGCCCTTTCGTGTCTAAGCTGGTAGTACAAGGCGATCCCCATGGTTATGCACAGTGGTAGACTCTGCTGGAGACTTTTGTCTTAGCCTTATTGACATCGATATTAATAATTGCAGTGTTTCGGGATAATTTAGCATTGGTACCTTTTGGTTTAGATCGCCATATTTTGGACTTCGATATTCCCTTTTTTTGTATTTTGTACTTGCCGAGCTTTGTCACAAACTCTGCGTTACAATCATCATAAGTACCTATCCATGTTCCGTGTAGATTTTTACATTGTCTTTTGTAATACCATAAAAAATTGATCGATTTTAGATCATGATTGTTTCAAGTGTGTTTTCGGGAGGCAATGTATGAGCGGGTGAGATGTGTTTTATGCCGCTTTAACAATATTCCCGTTATAACACGGTGTGATAGCTTAAAGGGGAAATCCCGAAATTATACAGATCTAAGACACATCTTAAAGTTTCTTAATGTGGTTCTTATTACGCTCGTCATCGAATCCAAATTGTGTAGATGGATGCTCTTGATGTTAATCACTGGATTGTCTGGTCCAGACTCCATCGTTTACAGACCGCCGTCATATAGCTGGAATATTGCTGAGTGCGGCGTTAAAAACAAACAAACAAACAAAACGTGTAGGCATCAATGGAATACTGTAAGGGATTTTGCATTAAACAGCTACAAAATACACTTTTTTTTGTCAGTTGACGTGTCTCTTTCAGAAGTCAATACATATTAGCAGTTGTCTCTCTTTGGTGATTAGTAGACGCAACGGTAGATCTCCAGTATTGCTTGTTTACCTTGAAAATCAGTCTCCAGCGTGTAGCTTGTAGGCATTGTGATGAATGTTAAAGTGTGTACATAAGATATTTATTTATTGATATGTATAAAAGTACTCTAACGCAGAAGGTATACTCTGCTTATATATATTGTTAACATCATGTAATATTGTTGCATGAATAAATTGAACTGCTGAGATATTTCATTCACGACTGTGTAATGATTCTATTACCGCTTCTCTTGTTATGTGTTGGGGGGGGTTGGTGTGATTTTACGGCGCTTATGTCAATATGTCATGAATGTCGCGAATATCCCACACGGACACATACCTCAGTTATACATATGTTAGGGTTCGAATCCCAGTGTTCTTTGTGACGGACGAACACACCAACTACTCGACTACCGTGTCCCTCTAACGGTGGTGTCACAGAGAACCGACTTCATACACTGTACCGTGTGACGTATTCCGTGTGACGTGGAAACACAAGACTATCAAACCACAGGTTTTGTGGCCTTATCCTCATAGTGTCAAATGCTGAAATATTGCAGACTCGGCGTCAACAAAACGACTTACTCGCCCACTTGGGCTGTTGTCCTTCGTTCTTTTCTTTTATATTAACAGGTGGAAAGCATAGTCGCTCTCGCCTAGGGCTCGTTCTACAATAAACATTACCTAGACTAAGATCACAGTCTTGAACGGGTTCTTGAACCACGGGAAATTTATGCAATGATTACTGATGTTTGCTATTGACTTGGATACCCACGATAGAAGTTATTGGTGTCACAAACCCAAGAAAGGCCATCGATTTCTCGCCTTCAATTGCGGCCGCGAGAAAGCGATAAGACAAAACAAGACAACGATAAAACGAGACGAGAAAGCGATACCACGAGACATATCGCTTTCTCGCCTCTTGTTATTGCTTTCTCGTTTCTCGTAGCCGTAACTGAAGGCGAGAAAGCGATGTTCCCTCTTGGCCGCCATACTGAATTTGGGAACCGGCTACAGTCTGCCATCAGTGATGTCTGTTTGTTTGTTTGTTGTTTAACGTCGCACTCAGCAATATTCCAGCTATATGACGGTGGTCTGTAAATAATCGAGTCTGGACCAGATAATCCAGTGATTGACATCATGAGCATCCATCTACGCGATTGGGATACGATGACATGCGTCAACCAAGTCAGCAAGCCTGACCATCCTCTAACAGGCGACTGTACTACTCAAAACAAGTTAAAGAACACCCGATTCTTTCATATCACCATAGTTAATCAGTCATGTCATGTAATGCTATAGTAAAAGGAAAGAATGCATCAACCAAGTCAATTAGCCTGACCACCCGATCCCGTTAGCCGCCTCTTACGGCAAGCATGGGTTGCTGAAGAGCAATCCTACCCCGGATCTTCACAGGGCACATCCGATGACTACAGAGTCACATGACCCCGTACCTTGAGGGTACCAACAGTTCCGATTCACTTGAAAATGTGAGTGAGTGAATGGATGCATATTGTTAAACGGCCTTCTGCGTCAGGTAAATTAGGGGTTCACAGCGTGTCTAGCGATCCACCCCGGCGGGACACGATGACACACAAATTAGACAGTTAGATCTTACACTTTGACACCCGGGCCTTGAAGGCGAAGTACCCTATTACTACAGTAGTAGAAGTATTGTTTATTCCGTAATGAGTCCACCGACCCATTATACAGCTGGTATCCTCCCATTAGTTACACGTCCCATTCGGTGTCTATTGACAGTGAGTGAGTTGGGTTTAACGCCGCTTTTAACAGTATTCCAGTTATATCGCGTCGTGTCAGCTTAATGTGGGAGGAAATCCCGATGTGATTCAGGTCACAGACGTTTACCACTTCAGTGAAACCCACGAGCACGGGTATGGTGCTGACAAACTTAGAAACATAACCGGGGCGAACCGGGATTCGAATCCACAATCATAGGTTTCTGGCGTGCCCAAGGGACGCAACTCTGCGCAGCGAATCGCGGCGCCTTAGACGACTGGGCCACCCGTGCTCCCGTGCCTATTGACAGTGATATTTCAACAAATTAATTAATTCACCAATGAATATCTTATTTTTCATATACACATTGTTGTAAGACAGATTAACCATACATTCAATACAGATTAGTTGCCTTATTGTTTCATATATATTGTTGTAAGATAGATTAACCATACATTCAATACAGATTAGTTGCCTTTTAGTCATATCATAAATTTCACAATAACATTTGTGCTAAAACTCCAGCTTGGCAATCAGAATGTAGAGAGACAGTTATTTTAGTAACGTGTTACAAAAGAGAGATATATACATGTTTCCTGGCATTTTAAAAAGTAACGCCCGGACATTAGGCTTATGAGACGCAATAAAACATAATATCCTATAAAATATATTGACAATAAAATGTACATACACTGAATGCTAAATACCTGGGTCTCTGTGGTAATCCTATGTACTCCAGCTAGGACTGGTCCTTTACTCAGTAGGTGTTTTCTTAATTAATCCCCTCCTGGCCTCCTCCCAGGCTGTGTGACAACTGGGAATATGGAGGTGTGTGACAACTGGGAATATGGAGGTGTGTGACAACTGGGAATATGGAGGTGTGTGACAACTGGGAATATGGAGGTGTGTGACAACTGGGAATATGGAGGTGTGTGACAAATGGGACGTGTAACTAATGGGAGATAACTCACACACACATATATAAATATTTGACAGACAGCGCCAAATTGTTTGCCTTATGATGTACAATAATGGACAGTATTACTGCGTAGGATAATTAATGACATCTTTAAAATATCTATTGCTTTTCTTAAGTGCTAAGAAAATATATTTACCTAGACTGTTAAGTAACGACGGGTTTGAGCTCTTAAATCTGAATAGAATGGACATTCGAGGCAGAAATAGTGTTATGATTACCTGCTGTTAATACTATGCAAAATAGACAGAATCTAAAAATTCTGATAATATTGTTCTGTCGATCTATTTCTATCATATACTAGTGGAAATGTTGAAGTTGTAGTTGAAACTGAGTAAACAACAACAGATGAATGATGAATATAGAAACAAGTAAACAAATGTTGGACGAATTCATTCGTTTTCAATCGATTATAGCTATCGATCTGTATATGAGCTTGTTAGTTTCAAACCCTCCATTGTCAGGCGCTCCCTAGGCTATACACACGCCAATCAATCACCGCTCACCAATTAAGCACCTATTGTTAATTACAACATGAAACAGATGGTGGCAGCACACACCCTTGTCCAAGACCAGCATTGATGAAATCTACATCGGAAACGGACCCAGACTTAGTGATAGGTTCGTTGTGCGATATATCAACAACATAAATAATCTCGCGTAACAGCAACGTGTCACAGATTTGCAGCGGAATTTGAACTCAGTGTGACATATAACTATTTCTCTTCAGATGTATATGGAGTCGCATTTCAGAAACTTGAGTGCAAATTTACAAACGGCCCTACACGGAATGGGGACAAACACATGCTCCGAGTCAACAAACACTTAGGAAGGAAAAAGTGTATGTCTGGAAGCGCCATATAGAAACCAGGCCAACCAGCTTACGCTCATACCACATCACAAACACGTGGGTTCACTTTTGAAATTAGCTCGGATTTAGCTGGGTGGCACTCTGCTGGTAAACAGGTTTGCAGTGCCTGTGCTTTGGAGTAAGGTGGAGATTAGGGTACTATTACATGTGGAGAAGTAATATTTGGGGGTGATGTTTTCCCCAAAAATTCTCTGCTTCCCACTGTGTGTCTATACGGACTGAGCAGATGAAATACAGCAGCAGTTCATGAGTTCAGTAGACTACGGCTATAGCGAACTCAAAGGGACCTCTAATTTTAGTTCGTAATAAAAGTAGTTCGTTATACAGAAAATATATATAGAAAATGACGGGACCAGAAAGAAACTGTTCATTATATCCGTCAGTTCGTTAAAAGCGTGTTCGTTATAACCGTAGTTTATCGTATTTGGTACCTCTGTTGCAATACCACAGTGATAATATGATGAGTACACTTTATTTCCCACATCACACATTTGTTGGCTTTAGCCGACATGATGTCAAAGTATACACGTCCGCGAATACCCAGCTTCAGTTGAAATTGTTATGTTGGCTAGGAAGTAGCTCTGGTGTTATGATGAAATAAAGTTCTAAACGTGCCCTGAATAGATGCTGGGGCACAGGTGGCCAGATAGCTTTAACCACTGGGCTAACCCAGCGCCCCCATATTGCTTGTAAGTAATCGCATCTTGACCAGACAATCCAGTGATCGATATTGTGAGCAATAACCCACGCCGTCGGGGTACGATCACACGCAATCTACCAAGTCACCGATCCTGACCAAGCGATCCATTTGGTCGCCTTTGTCGACCAGCATAGGTTGCTCAGGATCAATCCTAACCCGGAATCCCATTGGGATCTGCTAAAATGAATGTGATGAGCTGAAATCGGGTTTAAGATTATTGCACTTATATAGCGACGTGCACGTGTGTGTGGCTGCTTGTACTAGTCCGGACTAATGCCGATTTATAGTGCTGGCTCACAGAGATACCATGCCGCAGTTTAACATGAACACCCCACTCAGACACAGTATGCTGACTCCAGTCCTTTTTTTAGCCCCTTAATGCCGAGCGCCAGACAGGGTAACAACAAGTACCATCTTTTAACGTCTTTCGGTATGACGCGGTCGGGGATCGAACCCCAGATCCTCCGCTCTCTGGGCGGACGCTCTACCACTAGACCACGGAGGCGGTCTAAAATGAACGAGAGAGTGTTGCTAAACCCGTTATTAACAGTTTTGCCAATTTGAAGCAAGTAAATCTACTACACCTGTACGCAAAGTCGTCTATTCAAGATTGATGTTTTTGTCAATACCTCTCTTGTATGTTGACAATAATAGCCATTTATATCCAATATATAACAGGTATTTTGAAAAATGTTGTCAATTGTGCATCGCAAAGACGCACATATACATGCGTGCTTTATTCACACGCATGAAGCGTGGATGCTTGTCAGATCTGTCGTAAATCATATCCAAAGGAATGTACATTTCACAGTGCAACAAGGAGAAGGGGTGTCACGGTTAGCGTTGGTTACAGCCGTTCCTGTAACAAATGAGTCAAATGTTGTTGTAAATACAAAGCCTTGTGTGTGAGTGAATTATTTGTAGGC